AAAAAGAACGCTCGTCCAAGAGGGGGGGGGGGGGGGGGGGGGAGGAGAGCGGCCCCCCGGGCCAGGCAGCCTCCGGGAACAGCTCCACGCTGGCGGTGGATACACTTCTTGGACCATTCCCCCCTCTGATCAGCTGAGTTGTCTCTCTTAGAGGTGCGTCTGGATGGATCTTCTAACCCGCAGGGATGCTCTGAGACATGAGCAAGTGCTAATGTTTTAGGGCTTGTCAAACCCTAGAAATATCTTCCATTTTAACCGGAATCAGCATGGCGAAAGCAACACATGCCGGCTACATCGACCCCAGGAAGGCGTTCCTCACCCACGAGTGCACTGCGGCAGACGACCCAGGCAAAGCCCTCCTCAGATGGCTGAGCTTACAGGACTTCACGCTAGCATAGTAAAACCACCCCCAAGAGAGAAATGTCTGCTCCGCAGCAGAGTTGATGGTAGAACCGCATCAACACAAGGGATGTTGGTCAGGGAACACCCCTCTTCCCAGCCTTGACGCAGCTGGGCCAACAGAAACGCGTAGGCCTAGTGTAGAAGCGTTCGTAGTGGCATAAGACGACTTACGTTGACCTAAGTTATTCCAGGCTGGGAAGCAGAACTAACTAGAAGACACTTTTATACCTCCAGTCATGTGCACATAACATTTTTATCTGCAGCTAATCCACAAAAGTGGTCCATAAAGCAGGTATCTGTGCATTTGCAGGGCACTATTGATACCAGCATAACTGCGACTAGGGCTTTTATTAGCACAGTCATGGTGGCAAAAAACACCCCCCCACACACGTGATAAGACACGAGTTTTCCCAGTTAAACCCAGTGGAGACCAGCCCTGAAGGGAAAGTTAACTTTTGTTAAGGTTGCTGAGTGTATTTTGTAACAAGACATTCTATTACACATCAAAACCCAAATGTGACAAATCTGAAATCAGTTACATAATTCAGAGGCTCTCTCTAGTCATTAGGTTGGACATTAGGAAAAAGTTCCTAACTGTCAGGGTGGTGAAACACTGGAATAAATTGCCCAGGGAGGTTGTGGAATCTCCATCCCTGGAGATATTGAAGAGCAGGTTAGAGAGACATTTATCAGGGATGGTCTAGACAGTGCTGGGTCCTGCCGTGAGGGCAGGGGACTGGACTCGAGGATCTCTCGAGGTCCCTTCCAGTTCTAGTGTTCTAGGTTTCCCCCAACACACAAATTCTGCTTTCAAACAATCTTAACTCTCGCCTTCTAATGGGTGCACTGACTGCCTGAGCTATCCCTTTCCATCCACCACAATTTTCTTGCAGAAGTGCCTAAAAGCTTTAATACCTTCCTCTGATTCGTACAAGAATGGCCTATCTCAGAAAGAATGCATAAAACAAAGATACTGACTTGGGAATGCACAAATCGCACTCCGAAATCTTTGCCCCAAGCAGGAATTTCACCTACTCCTAATCAGACAAATATCAGATGATAAAGTTACGTCCCTTACAGTATAATAGCCTTTACTGAAATGCTATTCAAGTTCCAAGTCTAATTGAGAGCTTGCCTGAAGCCCATCAAATTGCATGGAAATTTACACACAGCATCTTAGCTGCTGCAGATCAGATCAGTCTCCAACACTAACGTGCTCCAACACTAATTTTGTCCTCAGCGTGAGTGCAGGCGGATGGACGTGTCCAAGACTTGGTGGTTTTCCAATGCCTATGGAGGAGAGGTCACAGGAATGTCACGAGACGCTTCTTGACTTGGACAATTTGAGTGGTTGGCATCCAAGCAACTTAGCCAGGGCTTTCCAAACTCTAGGGAATTTTTTTTTTCTATCCCAAGTCTATAATTTAAAATAAAAGTTATACTTAGAGGTTGTTCCAATCACAAGTCAGAAGCGGGAATCAAATCAAGGCTCCTGTCTAAACCCACCCAAGAAACCCCATGGAATAGCACATCTTTTGCCAATATCACATTGTTCACATGGCTTGTGTATTCTACTCTGTCCCTCCACCCTGTGTGTCTGTCTCGTCTAGATGGAAGCGCCTTGGGAAAGGAACTGCCTCCGGTTACGTGTTTTTACAGCTTCCGAAAATGTTTGCTTGGCTCTTATAAACTAAACCAAATATGATTAGATTGACGAGAATCAGAATTCCAGTTGCAACTAAAACTGTGGTGTCAGGGCCACCGAATCAGCAATTCTTGCTACATTAATCCCGGCAAGCTAACGCTTCCAGATCAAAAAAGGGTTTGCCCATTTGCTTCTCCAGTATCTGCAGAGTCGCTGCTATCCTCTTAGGACCTCCAGATCCAGCCAAGACCGTCACGATGTAAATAAACTTCCACCCCACATAATCCAAGCCTCAGCAGTCCAGAAGCCCCCAGGGCTAGTCCTTCATGTGTTCAGGACCACAAACTGCATCCACGTATGGCATTCGAATGGCTTCTACAGCAAGAACGCTCGTGCAAGCATGTCCAGGTACTACCATCTGATCTCAGCAGTCACTGGGCTGTAGGACTCAAAAGTGCAAAACTACGCACAGCCGCTTTCTTTCCCTCTGTTGAAAACAGTGGTGTGATGAAAGAGAATATGCGCGATCAGCTGGAGATCACCGATTCCAAAGCCACGACAGCTGCTCAATTCACAAATCTGTTTGTGACCACAGCTGGGTGGCTTTTACTTACCACCACAACACAATACGCTTTAGAGACGTGGGCTCAGATCCTGAGGGGGATGTGAGCGGACAGCTCTGTAGCCCTCAAGCGGGCCCTAGGTCTGAGCACAGCTCAGAAGAGATTTTCCTTGTGTCAGTCCAATGGAAGGGGAAAGAAAGCCAAGCAAGGCCTGAGTAGAACTACGGCAGTTGCTACATGAGCCATGACACCTGCAGGGGGAAAGCCTGCAAGTTAGCACCATGTTAGCTCTCACATGTCCACCACACACAGAGGCAGTGAGACCAGCTACTAACCCCTCCCCCAATAAGACAGCTATGGAACTTGGGGGATCTAGAAAGAGTTTTATTGAAATTTAACAAAACCGGACAAATGCCGAGGAAGGAGACCCATAAATATTGTATGTTTGAATCGGAAACTCCTACCCCTTGGCTAGAGGAACTGAAAGTGTAGTGTTGGTGGCTACAATTCTACACATCCACACTTAACAGCACAAAGTTGCACAGAAAGAAGTCGTAAAAAAACCAAAAAAACGAAGTGTTTTTTGCTTGCTCCAACAATACAGTGGACACAGATACTATTTACAGTCACCTTCACATTTTAAATATCCCGTCAGCCACTCCCAAGGGTCCCTCTCATCCTGTCTGGGGAGGGTCAGGAGACTGGAGCTACTAGGAAACAGCTGGGCTGGGATTCTAGAATCCTCACAGGCTGGCTGCCCCGCTCCAATCCCAGTGGGCTAGCCAGCCCAGAAAGAGGGGTAGGCAGCGTCAGGGTGTCTGCTGCCTCCCTCAGAAGCAGGGTGGAAAGAATCCTTCCTTGGGGGAATGTTCCCGTGGGATCGCTCTGTGTGCGGAGAGGGGGGTTCTCGGAGCAGCCAGAGGGCAGTGAAAAGGGGCACAGGTTACCCAGGGTGCTTCACTGAGCAAAGGGTGCTCTGCCTGCCTCTCCCAATTCAGAAGCCAGGTGGCCAATAACGGAACAGGAGGGTTCAGCTGCTCTGCTAGGGCCAGACGGAGAAACAGAGGCGCTACTCGCTGTACAGTGGTATGTCTGCTCTGCAATCAGACACCGCAGCTGGCCTGAGCCAGTTGACTGGGGCTCCGGGGCTATTTAATTGCGGTGTAGACTTGCAGGCTCAGACCCTCCCACCTCCCAGGGTCCTAGCGCCCGGACCTGAGCGCCTCCACTGCACAAACAGCCCGAGTCCTCCACCTGTGTGTCACTGCAGCGCAGACATGCCCAGTGCCTCTCAGTCTTGGCCGGGCACCTCTGTGCAGTGGGCAACTCCTGCCCATTCCCCCAGCAAGGGCTGGCGACACGGCCGGCCCCCCAGTGGCACTCACTATGCTGCCCTAGGCCAGGTTGGCCTTCGGCACACGGATCTAAGCCTGCTGCCCCAAACCTGTCCAGCCCAAGGACAAGGGGACATCCTACAGCCCTGGTACAACCCCCCCCATGGGAGCTGGTGCCTGCTCTTGGCCACATGGGGGGGGAAGGCGACCTGGGCCAGAAGCCCCCTCGCTCCCCACATGCATGCTCCTCCAGACCAGACCTCTCCTTGCTTCCCTTGAGCTAGATCCCCCCCCTCCCACTCAGGACCTAACCAATACTGCTCTCCTCTTGGGGGGAGGCCAATGGCTCCCTGCAGCCTCTTGCCCCCAGCAAGAGAAGCCAGAGGGGGGCTCCCAGCACAAGCGGTCTCCTACCCTCCCTCCCCCCAAAAAGCAGCAGCAAGGGGGCAGTTTTTTCAGAGCTAAGTGTTCCCGTATTGAAGCGGAGGCCCTGGGCTGCGACAGCCTCACCCAGCGTGACCCCTCCTTTGCTGGAGACGGTGTAATGCAACCGGCAATGTGCCGCTTGCAGGATCTGGGAGATGAACCCAAGTCCCCTGCCAGGGACTGGTCGGTGCAAGGAAGAAACTGAAAAGAGCAGTGACTCTTGTGAGCAGGTGCCAGAGCACAGCACTGATCCAGAAGGAAAAGTTCAGCCTAACGTGCTCCCTGCAGGAGCTGCAACAAGCACTCCAGCTGCGGGAACCCGTTTCCGTGCCCACTCGGGTGCAGGCCCAGAGCCTCTGGACCCTCCGTGCTGTAGTTTCACTCCAACTGCTACAGAGCGCGACCAGGGAACAGGTTGCCGCGGGGCAATGGGAAGCCCGTCTGACAGCGCCTGCCTTGCTCTAGCTAACTCCCAGAAGCCTAGCAGGGTGGCACAGCGCCCTTAGAACTCTTCCCAGGGCAGGGGGATGGACACATCCAATACAGACACACGGATGCTGCTAGCCACTTGGTACCAGCAGTTAAATTAAAAATCGAGGTAGCAAATGCCTGAAGTGCTCCGAAAGTAAGTGACATGCTCTGGGAGGGGGAAGGAGAGGACTGCTGCAGGAGCCACGGCGCAATCCAGTTTTAAAGCTTCACAAGAGTTCCTGGGGAGGTGGGAAGGGTAAAGCGGGACAGATCTCGATGGCCTGCTTGTGCGCACCAGGCTGCCCGTTCCTGTGTAACCCGTAGGGAAGGGGCACTTCTGCCCCGACCCCGGAGCAGCCAGCTAGGGCTCAGTCCTGCCAAGGAAGAAGTGGCAGATGCATCACTGCACAGAGTCAATGCTGCCACCACGAAGCCAGCTGGCAGAGGGGCTGCCCCATCAGCCATGTGTTTATCAAGTTGGGTAGGGAAGAGAACCTTCCTCCCCCCCCTCCCCCAGGGAGAAAGGGAGGATTGGGAGCAGGGGATGAACCCAGGTTTCGTATCTGCAGGGCGATTCCCAAGACCAGAGGGGGCAGACGCCAATTGATTGTGGTAGTGATCAAAGCTGGCCTGGCACGCTCAGAGCGCCGGGCAGGCGAGCCAGGCTGCCTGCCCTGGGCACGAGTGACCAGCATGTGGCAGTTACCCGGAACCACGTTCTGAGAGGGACTGAGCCCCAAATAAACGCTGTGGCTAATGCAAGAGGCCACACTCCAATGCGCCGGGGGTTCAGGAGACAGAAGAAAGCTTCTCTGTAGAGCGCAGCCTGCTCCCGCCAAGGCAGGCCCTGGCAAGGTAAGCCTTGCTGTGCCAACCCTACCCACAAAGCTGCACAGGCTCCCATGGGCTACCAGCCCAGTCACTCAGCTCTGAACACTACAGCTGCTTCCAGCAGCCTCCATGGCTCCGGCTGCAAAGCTCGGACTGTTTGGTCAGCTGGCTCTGCACCATCCCTGGCGAAGGGATTTTCGGAGGGCTGGGAACCACCAGCTGGTACCTAGAGCTGCAGGAAAGGCTTCTGGGGACCAGATGAGCCATATCACTGGGAAGTACAAAACAAAGCGGGGCAGGAGGGGGCCGTGTAAGAGAGGAGACTGAGTCGGAGGCAATGAAATCCGGTCTCCTCCCTTCAAGGAGCACTACTCCATTTCAGTGGGGATCTCAAGGTTAGCTCCACCTCAGACCGCCTCATTTACCCACCATTTCCAGACCAACCTGGGGGCAGCACTGCACAACCAACCCCACCCCTCCCAAGGATAAACATCACCACTAGCCTTTTATTCATCACTGCTTTGTAGGACAGGGGCATTAGGGGTCTGCCCCCGCCCCCCCGAGGTGAATTACCAGGGGCAGGTACCTGAGAAGCAGGGATTACGTTCAGCAACAGGCGCAGGCTGGCTCTCCCTTTAAACCCTCAAACACTGCTGCCATGGCAGTTCAGCGACCCAGCCAAACCTCACATGGAGTCCTAAGGATTTAAATCTCCGCTCTCAGGCGACAGGCTCAGTAAGCACATTGCTAAGCAAGGTCACGCGTCTCGGCTGGCTTGTGAGCAGAGCCCTTGCCAATTCTATGCCATGTAAGCAGCTGATTTTGCGCCACCCCATCTCCTCCTGGCCAAGGGTGCTCCAGAGGGCGTGTCTGTGCTCATAGTCCCCTGCAGTTCCGGGCACAAGGCAGCCTTGGGGGGTGGCATCAGGTGTGGCACGGCTGGGCAGGTAGGGTGCACTGGCGCCGCAGCTCAGACCTCACAGATGATAACGGGGAAATCCACGTGAATGCGAGGGTGCTCCAGCTTCACTATACCCTGAAGAGAGAGCAAGGAGGCTGGTGAGGCAGGGGAGAGACAGGCCTGAGAAAAGGCCTGCAAACAAAGGACCCATGTACTGCCCGTCACTCCAGATGGAGACGGACAATGGAGCTTATGTTCCAGGCCACTTCTTAATGGACAAGAGTCCATTAAATCGTCTCAAGGGACCAGTTGGCTGGCTAAGCACCAGGCAGACAACGGAGACTGACTCCGCACTAGAACTAGCCCCTGGGAGTCAGATTCAAGTGCCCTGATCCTGTGATGCTGAGTCAGAACTACAGCGCCACACGAGTGGGGGAAAGCCTGTCGCTGCCCAAAGGGCCTTTCATTCCCCAGCACTCAAAGCCAGTTAAGTGACAGGCAAAGAAAGGCCGCTGGTCTGAGAACAAACCCCACAAGCAAAGACCTCACGTGCACAAGCAAGCAAGCTTTCTGGCCAAGGAGCGAGGCTGAACGTACCAAGCAAGGGCGTTCGCTAAAGCCGCACTCTTGCGCTTTACACATGTGACGCGCCCCGGTGTGAATCTTCTCAAAGCCGCACTCTTGCGCTTTACACATGTGACGCACCCCGGTGTGAATCTTCTCCCATGACAAAGATCAGAAAGCAAAGCGGCTCCCGGGCCTATGCATTTGTGGGTTTCACACTCTAGTTTCACACACAGATCCCCACTAGACTTGCAAGGGGCTGGGAGTGTGGTCTAGAGTTTCGAATATGGGAAGAGAAGTTACATCACCCTTGGTGCTTTCATTTCTCTATCTGCAATACAGCAATCAAGGTTCTGGGTACTGAAATGATTAGTTTATGTTTGCAAGGCCTCTGAAGAGCCCAAGCTATTAGGCACTAATGAAGGTCAAAGCCTATTACAAGGATGACAAACTGAGGCAGACAGTTTTATTACCTTTAATAAAACGTCTGTATTTTCCGCAGAACAGCCACAATTGTTGCAGGAGAGCAACATGAAACAAAGCAGCGAGGGAACGCTTTGCCTGTGGCCTTCCAATTAATGGGCCTTGCTCGGTTCACAATAGCCCAGATGGGTTTGGCACATGGCAGATACTGGCTAGAAAGTGGTACCACCTCACGTGGATGCTTGGGCATAGTTTGAACGCAACAAATGTATTTAGCAAAACAAACAAGCCCTGCCTAACCACATGCAAAAGCCACGGAATGGATAAGAATTCCCATGGCCTCGAAGGGGTTTGTTGCTGCATCAGTCAAGGCCAAAAGCTGCAGCTGGGCAGATTTTACTTTTCGTGCTCGTGAAAGGTGCCAGACCAAGAGTCCTGGAGAATGGAGCCCTCTGCCCATAGAACAAATCCGGCAATGGCAGTACAAACTGCATCCCAGCTCTGTGCCTCACCCCATGTCCTAGAGGAACCCCCCTCATGGAGCAGAAAGGCAGTGTGTTTCCCACAGCCCATGCAGTCTCTCCTGAGAAAGCCAACAACGGCGTCAATAAACAGTGACTGCGCAATATGGACAGCTGTCTGCTAGAAGCTGGACAGACTGCAGCCCCCCAAACTCATTTGACAGTGGCCGGGTGGTGACAAGGCCTAGAAGAGAGAAGCTTGGTGGGATGAACTTGGCTCTACCCCAACACCTGCTTCAGCACATCAATTTTAAACCCACGAAGACATGTCAAATTACAAGTCGCTACATGTAGAACCTCTGGTCCCTTCCCAGATCGGATTTCCCTCTCCCTCCATATTTATTCCTCTGTCTGATTTGAGAGGGGTTTGTTGTACTGTTCTTTTCCCAACAAGATAACGTCTAGGGCCCGGCTGGAGGGGTTAAAAACGAAGGGCCTTTCTCTCAAGGCTAGTATTAAATCTAATCGCAGAGCAAGGCGTCAACGCTGATTTTTAAGGTCAGACGGCTGGCTCCAGAAAGCAGGGGCGTCCCGACACAAGCGTATTCACAAGCAGGTTCACTAAGGCAAGGCACAGCATGCTTTGTTGGGAGTTTGTTCCAGGCTGGCGCCATCAAGTGGCTCGAGGAGGTACATAAATGTCTGAGCTTCCTGGGGGTGTGCTGCCTGGAAACTCGTGTTTACAATGCTTAACTGCTATTTAAAAGTTATTTCTCTCCTCCCATCCCACCCCGCCAGCCAGAGACAATGGGTTGAGCCAGGCACTTCATGTGCAGGATTTTCAGGACCAGTACACAGGCAGCCTCTACTCAGTCTTAACCTTTCTCTTGCAGAGCATGGAGGCCTGAACAGCAGGGTGAGGTGGAGCACACCCCCTCTTCAGGAGCTTTGAGCAGGAGAAAGCTGGGCAAAAGGCTTCCCTGCACAATGGAAGGCTTCCCTGCACTGCGCTTCCGGGGGGAGACCTGGCACACTACTTTACTGGCTGAGTCCCCGGAAAGGCCGCTTGTGTGTCCGAGCATGTTACCTGAGGTATCAGGTTCTTGTGGATCCTTCTCAGTTTGGCGCGCTTCCTGCCATTCTTGGTGACAATTGTCTCCTCATAGAATTCATGGGCAAGGTCCCCGTCCTCGTCGTAATACATGGAGCTGCAGAGGAACAAGCAGAGGAGCACATAGAGACGGGCCAGCAATGATCCCTACCCAAAGTGACAGGCACGCTGTGGGAACAGGGCAGGGGGCAGCGGGCAGCCATCAGCTGTCCTGATCTCTCTCGCTGGAGGGCAGGGCACCCTGGGACTGGGAAACTGGACACGGAGCCTGTCAGCTTAGCAGCCATTTCCATCGGACAGCTGTGCAGCAGCTGTGACAAGGAGTTGGCCTCAGTGCTGTACCTAGCAAGACTGAAATCTACATCATAAAAGCTACCCAGACAGCTGGCATGGAATACATGCCCTGCTCCGATTTCAATGGACGGGCCAGCAGCTGCTGTGTGTTTGCCTAGCCCTCGACTGCAGAGTACCGCTCAGTGGAGAGAGAAGGGCCATGAGCCATGGAGATCGCACTCCCCTTGGTTCCAGGGGCCTGCCAGGGTGAGAGGGGAGAGAGGCAGTGCCCGTTCTGCATCCAGGGATGAGGCCGGCTGTCCACGTGCCGCCAAGGGCGAGTTTTGTACAGAAGCAATTGCGAGCAGTTAGTGCCAGAGTGATGGCGCCGTGGTGAGCAGTGCCAGGCACACTTCCCAGCTCTGATTCACACACGGGCGGATCCGTACCACTCCACAGTGGGACGCCACCAGAATCATTTCACTCTTGGACAAGCAAGCGCAGGCTGTTGCCAAGCTGGAGCGCTAGCCAGCACAAAGGATACAGGGCCATTTGTAATGGGACGATCATGGGCACAGCTCAAGCACACCTAGCTTTTCAGTCACAAGAGAGCACGCCTGGCTGAGGCTGGGACAGGAACTATGCGGGAACCTTGCAGTTCAAGCGCACTCTCCTAGCCTACGGCACGAGATGATTCCAGGATTTCTTACGGCAAGAGCAGAACTCAGTCCGATCTATTCCGTTCCTGGCTTATTTGCTAGCAGCGTAGCTAACCGAGGCGCACAGATCCCGGTTTTGTGATGTAAACACCACTTCGCCAGGAACCAAAGCGAGAGGAACTGCTTATTCGGCAGGAATCAAAAAATCATCCGGTGATAACCAACTTGGATCACTACTGATAGATCTAGATCAGAACAGGGATGGTAAATATCGATTACTCGGCTAATCAAGTAAACAATGGAATTTGCATTGACTACTTGATCAGTCGATAGGCACTTTTGCATTCCTTCTTTAAAATGTACAAGAGCCCCTAATGGGGACTCTTGTACATTTCAAAGTAGGAATGGGGAACTCTGCTGCACACGGCTTGTTATCCTGCGCCCCCCTGGGAGCTCTTCCTACATTTAAAAGGCAGAGGCACAGCAGTTGGACCCGGCACAAGCGGGGACTGCTTGAGTCCACTCACGCCACTTTCTCTCCTGTGCCTCAGCCTTCCCTGCCATCCTGCGGAGTCAGTGCTGGGGGAGCTGGCTTTTAAGTCTGCTCCCTCCAGCATCAGCTCCTGCCCCACCCCACTTGCTGCCTCTGATATAGAAGCAGCAAAAGGGGGGAGGGTATGACTCGTGGAGCAGTGACGCATCTACCTGACAAGCCTCGGCTAATTGCTTACATCCCTTTATCGGAACCCACCACCTAGTGGTAAAAGCTTCCAGAATCAACTCAGCTATCAACTTCCCCCTTGTCCCCGTTTATGATCTGTTTTACCACTTTGCCCTTTCTCTACCGGACTGAACCAATTTGGCCCAATAGCACCAACACCGCACATATGAACAAATGTCAACACCACAACTCCGTGCACACACAGGGATAGTGAGTGTGCCAAGATTCATACAGCTGACATGTGCCAGAAGTCCTGCTACGCCATCCAATGTTCACTATCCATGACATTAACATGACCAGAGTACTGGTCCCTCTAAAGCAGCCACACAATTCTTCACAACAGTGGTGGGATGAGTAGCACAGTCTCCTTTCTGGACTGAAGCCACATATAATTTAGGGATGTATGCGACTAATCGAGTAGGAACTCGACTAGTTGCTCTCCCGCCGCCCCCTCTGATAGAGGCAACAAGGGGGGAGCCGGCTTAAGAGTCAGTTCCCCCCACCAGCATCATCTCCGCAGGGGGCAGGGACAGCAGGGAAACGGCAGGGGATTGAAAGTCCCACTGGCGCTGGTCCCACTGCTGCTCCTCTCCCTTTGGCGTGTACAAGAGTCACCTGCATTTCAAAGGAGGAGGCACAGACGGGAACCCATGCCAGTGGGGACTGCTTTGGGATGCCAGTGGGATGGCAAGCGCCCCCCTTATCAACTAATCGAGTAGTCAGTGGAAATTCCATCAACTACTCAATTAGCTGACTCTCAGAAATTTAACATCCCTAATATAAACAAAGGCCCTACTACAGAAGTTTGGGTTGCTGTTTCTACGCACTGCAAATCCTGCACCTCCCCGGTCTGAAACTGGCTGGTGGGCGTGAAGATAGAGGGGCAAGCTACTGATTTAGGCTAGACAAAGGAGGGATATTGAGACAATGCCAGTTCCCAGACACCTTCCTTTAGACCCAAGGCAGAGAGAGCGAGAATTTCAGCTAGCCACAGGCAACAACTTGTCAGCTATGTTGCTTGGTTCAGATGCACCTGGCCACTCTCCTGACAAGAGTCGGTACCCCAATGCCAAAAGACAATTAGGAGGAAATTAACCCAAAACAAAAGTCAAGAACTTTGGCCCAATATTTATCATACTAGCCAATTAGCCTGTCATAAAACGGGATTTTCAGGCCTCTCCTCCATGTCGGTCTTCTCTCCTGAGCCTCCGGTCTTGATCTCCGTGTCTCTCTCTCTCTCCCCCTCCTCAGCTCTCCTCCACCTTCTGCCTCTCTCCCCCTCTTTCTCTTCTCCTCCTCCTGCCTCACTCTCTCTCCGCTCTCCTCTGTCTCTGTCGCGGATGCATGCTTGTCCAGGCCCCGCCCCCTGGGTGTATACATCACCGCCCTGCCCCCCTTCACCTCCCACCGTGGCGCTCAGCTGACTTCTGCACCCCTCAGGCGGGCCACCGTGCAGGTGCAAGCGGACTCTCTCTCCTCCTCTTCCTCCTGCTACCTCCCCCTCTCTCTCTCTCTCTCTCTCTCTCTCTCAGCTCTTCCCGGCCCCCGCCCTCTTCCTCCCTCTCTCCCTCTTTCTCTTCTCCTCCTCCTGCTGAGTCTCTCTCACTGTCCTCCGCCTCCTTCGTTCTCTTTTTCTCCTCCACGTCCTGTGCCTGCTCCGTTTTCCTCCTTTTGAATCCGGCGCCCTTTCCTGACATCAGAGATGCAAGCTCGTCCAGGCCCTGCCCCCTGGCTGTTCCCTCTGGGCGGTGCTATTGCCTCCCGCCATGGCGCTCGGCTGACTTCTGCACCGCTCAGCCGGGCTGTGGCACAGGAGCAAGCGGCCCTTTGGGCCCCGCGCTCCCTGTGCTGCATGGGGAGCGTGGAACCCAAACAGCTGCTTGCTCCTGTGTGACAGCCTGGCTGAGCAGTGCAGAAGTCAGCCGAGCACCATGGCAGGAGGTAACAGTGCCACCCAGAGGGAACAGCCAGCATTATGGAGTCACAGACATTGGGCTACAATATATATGATAATCTAAGAACGGGCAAAGAAACAGCTTTATGGTGCACACAAGTCCAATGGAGGCAATCCACTTCAACCTAGTCACCTAGATAAAGGCATTAGCTGCAGCTCTACCTTTATTTCCTTCCCTGTCTGCAAGACCGCGAGACGGACATGTGGCTGCCCTTTGCGCCACAGACCAGAACCAGCAGCAGGCAGAATTCAGTTGGCAGGTCCAGCTCGCTTACAAGTGCCAGGCAAAAGGCTTGAGGCTCTTCTAGAGGTGAAACGCCTGGACCGGTTACTGGCAGGAAACAACCCTACACAGAGCGGTCAGCAAAACGCTCGAACAGAAGCCTCGGTTTAAACGTTGCTAGGACCCGCCCTGCCCCCCAAGCGTGAAGCCCGGTGAGCGGGGCGGCTGCCCGCCGGCGGGCCT